CCCCCCCCCCCCCCCCCCCCCCCCCCCCCCGCTACCAAAACCTTGCCATGCAAACCCAATACAATTGTACACTGCAATGACCTACAAAGTGAGCCATAGTAATAGCAAAAAAAAAGCTTGTTGTCCTGTTGTAGCCAGTGGAACTTGTGGCTGGTTAGTGAAAGCTTTGTCCAGAGAAGTCAGTCAGACTTTATATGAGCACAAAGTTGCACAGTATTGCCTTAAGATTTTATTTTAAACTGATTTAACTGAACTGGTGCAAAACCTTGAAAAGGTATTCTTTCTTTGATTTAAATCTAATTTACATCAGCTTAACTTGTTTTCATAAATGTACACTTTCAAACTGATTGAATCCACATGGGCAGTTATCAAAATAAATTTTTGATATGTCAATGTCATTAAAGGTGTTAGAATTCCTTTTACTCTGTGGAGGCCTCAGAAACACTGTTGTTCTGTAAAAACAAGCCTTATGTCAGATATCAGAAACACTTGAACTCCCTACAAAATGTCAAGTGATGCAAAAGCCTTTGAAACTACTCAGATACTACATCACTAGAAGGTTTCCTTTGACTGAACATCCTGTGAAGACAGGACATTGTTAATTTTCACGGGTAAAACAAATGGTATAATTTGCAGTACTTTACTGCAAGTAAAGTTGGATTAGTGTGAAAGAACTGACGTAAAAATGGTTTTCAGATATCATACTGAACTTGCAAAATTGAAAGAGTAAATGTCTTGAACTACTGTAATCAGTATTCTCTCGTGGCTTTAATCCTCCAGGGTATTTAATGTCTGTTGAAATTAATTGTACGTTATACGCTCTCAGCTTTTTGGAAGTAATATCTGTATTTTTTATTTCATCTATTCAGATCATATTTAAACCTTGTAATGTGCTTTCAATCTCAGTTAAAGACCTTATGCAATAACTGCATGCACTTCTATTCCTAAATGAAATATACGTTTTATAACTCATTTATGAGTGGATTTAGCTTGCCGTGAGAACATATAATACACTAAGGGCTACACTCAACTTTATCCACGATAATAAAAACCCAACTCTGCTCCTTAAATAACAACTCAGAATAAGATGGAAAGGCAACATGAACAAAAATGTGGATTTTTGTCTTTCTCCCTGTAGGCAGGTTGGACAAGATGGTGCTAGAAGGGCTTTCTCTCTCTCGTCCTGCAGCAATCCGGGGTTATCCCCATGGACCTCTGCCACCAGAAAACTCCCTACAGAGATCAGGTCTGCACTTCCTAACTGAATCTCCATTTATCCCTGCTACTGTGCTTTGGTGTTCATTGCAAGATGCTCTTGGGACTTCCAGATTTCCTTTCAGGCTAAAGTAATCTGGAGGGTGAACTCTAAATCCTAATTGTCATTAAGTCTATGGAGTCAGGCCATAGCTGATTCAAAATAACCTCCTTTAAACTTTTAGTATAGATACCTGGTCCCAGCACCAGCTGTTTTTCTCTGTGAATCCACACCTGTCAGGTCACACCACTTGCTGATGCAACATAGCATATCTGGACCAAAAGCAGCATTGTCTTGCAGTCTCCTAGAGACTTCAGACCTATCATATGACTTCATCTTTCATTACCTGATTGTAAAGGACATCCCAACCAAAGACAGGAATCTCAGTGCTACTGGCACCTCCTGCAGTCACAGTTCAGGTCTGAAAACCACCTGGACCATACCACTTAAATCCCGATACCCCCACATTTGTTTCTTGTCTTCCTTTTTCTTCCCTAGTTGTATATCTTCTTTTCACTTCATGACGTTAGCTTTCAGTTTAAAAACAGTCTGTCTCAGCTGACCTTTTAGCAGCACTGCAGCAAGCCTGTGTCCAAAAAGACAGCTAAAATCAATGTTTAAAACAGCACAGCATTGGTACGTTTGCCAAGTCTCGCAGTGGCTGATAAAACTATGCTGAGCCTGTTTTTCTCTAGTGGTCAGGTTGCCAGTAGCAATTGGGACCAAAAACAAAAGCTGCATTTTCAATCACTGCTTTTCTTTTCCTTTCTGTTTTATCTGTGTTTGTCTTGTTTCCTCTTTATGGAAAGAAGGCCAGACTCCAGGAAGGAGATTCATTAACAGCCACATATCCAGCACCTCTCAGTGGGTCTTTTCTTTTATTCCCATACAGACATTGCCATCTTTAGTCCAGGTTTCTGAATTGACATCATATGTTGGGTAGAAGCCTCATCCAACTGTCCATTCATGCTCTTTTGTGGCAGCTGCAGTTCATTCATTCAGAGGGCAGCCTCCATCTAGCATTAAAATCCTGGAAGTCTTAGCTGCAGTGGAATATACTGCATCTTGTGCAGAGTAGAAGAGTGCCTGTGGCATTGTGCTGGAGTAGAAGACACACTCCCTCTTAGGGCCGTGTGCTCAAAGGACTTGGTGCCTTTTGAAATTGAATCCATCCCAGGTTCCTCATCACACAACTCGTGCTCTATAAAAAAGAGAAATGAAGAAATGCCTCACAGTTACAAAGAAAGGGTGAATACAGTAGAAAACTCATGCTCAGAATTTTTTTTCAAATATTTTAGCTGGCTTCACATTTTTCATGTGATATCTTAAAAACCTACAGTATTTTTAATGACAGTTGTTGCTGTGGTACTTAGAATGAAGAATCAGTACTCAGACTGTCAGTTTCGTTTGAAGTTGTATGGTAATAGGCTTGCTTCAATATCTTTGACCCTCATCCCAAATAGAGAATAATCCTAGCATGTTTGGTCAGTCAGAATTAAGCTTCTAAGTGTCATAGATGGTCTCAACTTGTGGCCCTAAATCTGTAATTATCTTAGGCTAGGTTTGTGGAGGCCTTTTTTGAGAGCACCGTATATCAATTACATATAAAATCAATCAGTGTTAAGGGATTAGCTAAAGTTACAGTATTAAAAACTCATTTGACTGGAAATGTAAAAGGAATTAAGTTATTACTCTCAGGCAAAAATATAATTTGACCATAAGTGGAATGATAAGATCAACAATGCTGGTTTTTCCTCTTAACAAGGACATTGGCCAAAAAAGGTAGATACTCCTGTCAGTATATCAGGCGTCTCTGTGTCACTGGGTTTGTACACAAAATGTACCAAATGCTGAAAATCCACCAGATGGCGCACTAAATCCTTGATACTGAAAAAGTGCCGTCATCCAGGAGAACGATAGTAACTGCATGGCAGGCTGAAAATTGAATGTGTGTTACAATATGAAGACTGTGCTTTGTTTTGTCAGTAATTACTGGGTCAATCTTTAATAGCTAGGAAATGACTTAGAGAAACATTAAGGGAAAGAAATGGGATAAGACAGCAATTATGTTAATTTTTTTTCAGCTAATAATCTGTCTTGATTTGTAGTGACATTTATGATGTCTGGGATGGACATTTAACAACTGGGGACTCACTAGATTTGCCTTTGGCCCTTGATTCTCCAAGTAGATTGTTGCCCGCCAGGAAATGGCTATCAGTATTGCCTACAGTGTGTATCACTCTTCTGGAGGTAAAGCATCTCATCTACAAATATATTACTGAAAGAACTGTATCTAGGTAGATCCCTGGCCTTACATCTGTGTAAATGAGAGAACCTGCCATAGGATGGCTGGTGCTGGCTGTGATGCCCCTCTCCAGCTTTGCTGGTGTTTGAAGGCAGAGTTTCAATGGTAGAGACATCATGATCTGTGGAGATCTGGCTGTTGATCTGATGCCTAGTCTCTCCTCCATGTTTCCAGCCAATA